GCGTGAAGCCTGCTTGAGATTCTCTCTCTCCCTCTCTTGCTACTTCCCCCACTCAATCTCGCATGTGCGCACTGGTACACATGCACACACACTCTCTCAAAATAAATAAATAATAAATAAGTAAATAAACTTTAAAAAAGCACAATGGTATATAGTTCAGTAATTGTTACTTTGTAAGAAGTTCAAATCTGGTAGGAAGAATCTAACATTGTTTCCTTCAAAACATCTTTGTATTGTTCAATTGTTCTTCGCTAACAATTTATGTAGCTCAGTGGAGTCTTTGAGGGACTTAAAAACACTAAATAACTACATTTCTGAGCCCAGCTTTCCGATTGGCCTTACCCACATGTAGAGAAATGGAAATATTTGGAGGTAGAGCCCAGGGTATACATATTAAAGAGAGTCTCCTGTTGATACAATTTGAGAGCTTCCACCCTCAAAATTAAGGTCATTTTTAATGTATTTCTTCTCTCTTGCTTCTCCCTAGAGTTATTCCTGGTCAATCACCTTGCCTTCCTCTGTGCTCCCAAACACTCAATTTTTTTTTCTTAACTCTGTCATGTTTGGAATTATGTTTGTTTCCAATCATTTGATATTTGTTACTATTGCAAATAGCACATTATTCTTGTTTTTTTTCCCTTTTGTATATTGATGGTATGTAGGAATACAATTGATTTTTGAGAAGCTATTTCTATCTCCTTACCTTTTCTGAACTCATATTACTGCTAATAGCTTTCTGGTTAATTTTTAGAAATATAATAACTGTGTCTTCTGCAAAAGTTGGTATGTATTTCTTCCTCTGCTGTATTTATGCCTCTTGTTCTGCCCTTGACCACGTTGTAGATCTGTTTGCACTTGACTGCACTTTGGAGCTATTTGAAATGGGGAATGGCTAGTTTCTGGTCTCACGTGTAAGAAGCTTGGCTGTCAACACTCTGTTGACAAGTAAAAAGCTGAACAAACTGATATATCACCAATTCTCAGATCCGTAAGAGAAGTGAGGTCACAGGGCAACTGCTGCCCTTGGCACTGGAGAGACCAGAGTCGGTGGCTGAGGCCAAAGGACTTGGTGCATGTCAGGAGACCTCTACGAGGGAGCTGCTTCCCGGCCTCTTCCTTCACTCCCTTGGTCCCGGTCCCAAGTCTTCGAGGGCCGCTACTCAAAGTGTGGCCTGCAGAGCAGCAGCATAGGCACCCAGGAACGTTTCAGAGATGTAGAGTCTCGGGTCCCACCTCAGACTCACTGAATCCAAATCTGCATCTTCACAACAGCCCTAGGTGACTCTTGAGCACGTTAAGATTCCAGAAGCACTGATCCCCGAGGCTTGCAGGAATGTCCACCAGATGGCAGGTTTGCAGCAGGCACAGGTAGCCAGGGCCACACATCAGCCACCCAAGCCTCCTTCAAACAGTGCCCGAAGTGGCCTTGGGAATTGGGAGCCATAGCCCATGAACTGTGGAGGGGGGAACCCAGAGGGGACCCCTAATCCATGAGTGACAGGTTGTGAGCCCTCTGGGCTCTCCCTAGGTGTTTTCTCATACATTGTCTAGTGAGAGGGATGGGAGGATACGCTCGCATTTAACAGGCAAAGAAACTGAGGCCCAGAGAGGGAAAGAAACTCACCAGTGGCGAATGGAAGCAGAATTGGAAGGCAGGTCTCAGGCTCCCTGGCCTGGGCTCACAGCACCTCTGGAGGGGCCTGGCAGGATGGCTCAGCCCCAGGGTGTGCTGACCTGAGCAGCCTCCATGCCCACCTCTCCATCCTTCCGACCCGGTTGCTCTTTCAACTGCTCTCTCATTTTCTTTGGGAGTGCTAGCAGCAGCTGTTGTAATGATTCAATTTGGGATACTAATGGACTTTCCACAATACTCAGGTTCCTGGAGTTAAGCCCCAGGGGAACAAAGCATCAGCCTTAATTGGGAGCAAACAGAACCAGCCCTGGGCCTCAGAGGGTCCCTTGGGAATCTTAATGGTTCCTGAGTCTACAGCCAGTACCAGCTGTGAGCCACTGACTCTTCGGTGAACTTTCATCTCCATCTGTTTAGTTTTGCTCTTTTAGTTATACGAACAAATACTCACTTGCGTAGGCTCCAGTAAATTTTTTCCCATTTTTCCCCCTAAGAATGTATTTGAGTTGCTTAGGGAAATCACCTAGAATTCATGAGCAGAAGTTTTTATAGAGTTGGGGCTGACTGAGCCAGAACATTGTGTTCCCAGACTATAAGGAAAATGTTTTAAATGGGGTGGGGGAACAAAGGGTTATAATAATGCTCAATTCCATCCCTCTTATTAACTGTTAGTAAGACTTGCTCTAACCACATTGTTAATGCAGTGAGTCAGATGAAGTAGAGATCACGAAACCAAGGAAAATGCAGAGGCGGACAGCATGGAGAATGAGAGATCAACAGAGACACCAACACAGGACCCCGGACTCTCCCTGCGTCCCCTTGCCCATCCTCTCCTGGGGTGCAACCACTTTCCTCTACTTGCTGGCATCTCTGTTCACCTCTGGTGGTGAGGAGGGTAGGACTGTGGTCCATTCAATGAGAGTAGGATCCTCATTTTACAGATTTCCAAGGAGAGAGGTTCCACGGTATCCCCTCTCACTGTCCCCAACCCCAAAGAGAAGTTCAGTAGAGACGGCTGTTCTCTTTCCTCTCTCCTGTGAGAAAGCCCACCAGAAGTCCTAATCTCTGCAGGCAGTGTTGGTATTTTATAGGCAATACTCCATGAAAGGAACCTCTGCCACCACCCAGAATCTGGGAAAGAGCAGACACTTTCAAGTGCAATTGCAAATAGCACAGACGTACCTTTGGGAGTGTCCATGACAAAGGACCTGAGATCTGATCACAGGGGCTTATGTTCAGGGAAATCTAAGTACACACGTGGAAATACTGATAATCACCATCTCCTGTATGTGTCGTGTGCCACATATAGTAAACACAGGGGACTGGGGGTTGAGGAAGCAGCAGAGGGCAAGTATGCCCTAGGGGCCATGATACTGGAAGGTGACTTTCACAGAGTGGCATTTCACCATCCCTAGTCTCATGCTTGTAGCCTGGGGTTAAAATCACTACCTTGGAAGGTCAGCTTTGGAAGGACCTCAAGGCCATCCAGTCCCAAATTAATGCACGGCTGGGGAGAGAGACTGCAAGGCCCAGAGAAAAGAGCTGGGAGGGGCTGCTTCTCCAACAGCCAGACCAGTGTCCCTCCCACTGTCATGTTTTGTCATTAGTTCATCTGGGCTTTGTTTGTTTACTTGTTTGCTTGCCTATTTGTTGTTTTGTTTGCTTGTTGGTCTTTCAATATATGCCTGGCATCATCCCACAAAGGACTGAGATAGCCCCAAACTACACCCAAGGCCAAACAGGTGAGAAAATGGGGCAAAGGAAAACTAAAAGAAAAATTATAAGATTACAAAGCCAAGGAGGAGTAAGATTCACCTCAAAGGGCAGACCATCAGGAGGACTTCTCAGGTGCAGAGTTGAGACATGACACAAACATATCAGGGACAGATGTGAATCTAGGACAAAAACTCAGATGTACAGGAATATTCTTGTATTCATTTTCTTTAATCAGATTTAGTCTGACATTGAGCCTCCACTTGGCCAGGCTGGGAATATTCTGCTTCAACATTCAATAAGAGGCATTCTACCCTCCTAGGGGTTTCCCAGAATAAGCCTCACGTAGGGCCCAGAAAACGGTGGACATTTGTCAGCTGCTCTTCCAGGGTCCATTGCCCCTCTACCACTTTCTTAACAACTCCAGATTTTCCTTTGTGTAGCAGCCATAGACTTAGGTTAGACTGACCCCACCTTCTGTTTCAGAGCAGGGGCTGCTGGTCTAAGTTAATCTGCATAATCTTATCTCACCTGCCACTGTGATTGGTTTGCAGTTTGCATCCATTGGTTGGGTCAGAGCAAACTTCAGGACACTCGTTCTCGGGTTGTAGGCACCAGTGGTTTCTATCCCATAAACGAATGTGGAAAATGCAGGTCCAGGACTACAGCAGCCATCTTGTGACCATGAGAAGAGTCAGCCTGAGAATAAAGCTGACACATGGAAAAGTGAAGAGTCAAGAGAATCTCAGAGCAAAGGAGCTAGAGCCTGATTAACTTTGCCTGAGGTTGGCCCTACTTTTGGATAAATCCACATTAGTCTTAAACCAGGGTGAGTAGAATTCTGTCTTCTGTGCAGTTGAAGATCTCCCACCTAAAATGACCTCCAACCACCATGCTGTTAGGGCTGCAACCCAAAGAGTCCAAACCTGTAGCTCCACAGCCCGTCATACCTGTGCCATAACCAATGTAGAGCAACTCTTACTAATGGCTGATGATAGCCATGCAACTGAGGATTATTATAACCCTTTGCTTTCCCCAAAACATTTTTTGGACCTCCTTATTGTCTGGGCACCCCCATGGTGTCTGATGCTGTGAGTCATATAGTGACTCCCAGTCACATGGCTGTGACTCCCAGCCATGCAGGACTGTACCAGTGTGTGATTAGACCTGGGGTATGGGTAGCGGAGTGCAGACATCTCTCTGTGCTTCCTCAGAGTGTTCCATACTGAAGGTAAGAGCCCTTTTTTACTGGGGCCAAGACTTATGGTGAATTCTTGCCAAGGGTGCTATCAGCCAATGGTACAAAGTTTATTTTTCATGTTATTCTTACTGAACACAGGCCTCTAGGATAATATCAAAACATGTACAGTGATGAACAATTCTACACAGGGCCTCACAGCATATTCCAAGAGCCCAGTTCTACTAAAACCAGATTCTGTGTCTATCTCTTAATTTTGCACACACCAATGAGGCCTCACAGATATGCACCAGCACCAGAGAATCTAAGATTTCACTAGCATAAAACAGCTCTGGTATGTCACTGTGGTTGTGCACAAAGCCAAAAACTAGCCAACATTTCTAGAACTGTGAAGGTGCTTTCCTTCCATGTTCATAGATAGAAGCTTCCATTAGTCAATGGAACAATGGGTGGGTGGGTGAGTAGATAGAGAACCAGTTTACTTTTTAGCCTTAGTCACATGGTCTACAACATGGACCTTACAAAACTCCCTTCTCTACTTTGGGTTACCATTTTCCCATGAACACAATGAGGAGTTTGGAGGTCTTGCATTCTGGCAGTCTGGAATTCTTTGATAGTCACTCAATCAGGTATTATTGATGTACCAGGTTCTTCACGGCAGCCTTCACATCCTTGTTCCTTAGGCTGTAGATGATGGGGTTGAGCATGGGGGTCACCACCCCATAGAAAAGGGAGGTGAGCTTATCTGAAAGGTCCTGCTTATCTTCCCCCAGGGGGTCCTTGGATTTGGGCTTCCCATACATGAAGAGGATGGTTCCATAGAAGACGACCACAACTGTGAGGTGGGCAGAGCAGGTGGAGAAGGCCTTTTTCTTCCCCTCAGCTGAGGGGATCCTCAGGATGGTAGCAATGATGAATACATAGGAGACAAAAATGAACAGAACTGGGACCCCCAGGAAAATCACATTAGCCACAACCATGCTGATCACATTCATAGAAATGTCAGCACAGGCCAACTTCAGGACAGCCAGGATCTCACAGGTGAAGTGATTGATGACATTGTCCCCACAGAAGGGCAGCCTCATAGCCTGGGATGTCTGAACTACAGAGTTGGTGATACCAGCTGCCCAGGAGCCAGCAGCCATGGGTATGTATATAGCCTTGTTCATGACCATAGAGTATCTCAGGGGGTTACAGATGGCCACATAGCGATCAAATGCCATCATGCCCAGAAGCACACACTCTGTAGCTCCCATGGCAAAGGAGAGAAACATCTGCCCAAAACAGGCTGAGAAAGAGATGGTTTTCCTGGGGGTCAGGAAGCTGTCGAGAATGAGAGGGACAGAGGAGGTTGTGTAGCAGATGTCCAGGAAGGAGAGGTTCCCCAGGAAGAAGTACATGGGCGTGTGCAGGTGGGAGTCAAGGATGGTCACCAGGATGAGGACCCCATTGCCCAGCAGGATCACCAGGTACATCAGTAGAATGAGCACAAAGAATGTTTTCTCCAGCCTTGGATGGGCTGAGAGTCCCAGGAGAATGAACCCCACCACAGGGGAGGTCTGATTGAACCTGTCCATCGTACATCTCCTCTGTCACCTGCAGGAACTCTCTGAAGTCAATTTCAGCTCTCTCTGACTCCAAAAGCATCTGGGCAGCAGGGCAAAAATCCCAACCCTGCTGATCAACTGGAAAATAGCTCTGACAATTTGGTCATCTTCGTAGAATTCTAGGAAAAACGTAGTAGAGGAGAGTATTTAACTTCTGCTTCTAGTAAGAATGAAGAGATAATTTGGACTAACTCTCCTGCATATGACAATTAAAAAAAAAAAAAAGCTAGGGGCACCTGGTGACTCAGTCAGTTAAGCATCCAACTCTTGATTTTGGCTCAGGTCGTGATCTCAAATTTAATTCATGGGATCAAGCCCTTCATCAGGCTCTGCACTGACAGTGCCGAGCCTGCTTGGGATTCTCCCTCTGCCCCTCTCCAGCTCACACACACGTGCTCTCTCTCAAAATAAGTAAATAAACTTAAAAAAAAAAAAAACCTAGACAACTATATAAAACACTGTGTTAAGCATGAGCGAGGTTGTAAAACAACAAAGAGCCACAGGGTCATGATTCTGGGAAAGAACAGGGATTCAGAGAAGTCCAGCATTTGAGGCTATGTTTCAGCCGAGGCATGTGCAGCATCTGGAGGTGGCTACTGAGAGGCTAAGAAGCACTACTTCCAGCCTCCTGAAGGAGGGGACCAGGTTTTGAAGTCCACGGCTCACCGTGAAGGGCCTCTACCGAAACCTCCTCCCATTGGTAGGGGATCCCAAAGGGCAGGACCACAGGAGTAAAAGAATCAGAGGGAAGCATTTGTTTACAGGTGCTCTAGCTCAGCTTCAAATCTTCCCAAAAAGTTGGATCTTCCCTGAAATTGGATCGAGGTTGTCCCAGATTTTTGGTGCTTCCAAATATCAGAAGCAAATATAAATGCAGGCTGAAGGGAAGTAACGTCACCCCAGTCTTCTGAATCACTCCCACAAAGAATTTTGCAAATACAACATCTGGCACACATTAAAAAAAAAAAAGAAGAAGAAGAAGAAGGCATGCAGGAGACAAGACAACATAAATTAAAACCAACAGGAAAAAACCCAGGAAATCGAGCATCCCTCTTCCTGGGGCAAATGAGAGCCACCAGCTCCTCTGCCCTGCTGTCACCTTTTGAGAGGATTAGCTCAGACCACAGTGCCACGGTCTTAACATCTTGTCGATCCTTTTGTACATTTGGGGCAGCAAATGGGCCCCTTGCACGCAGTGGCCACACTGACGGAGAGTTCAGACTGTATATCCCTTCTTTTCTTCATTCTCCAGCTGCCTGCACCAGAGGCACTGGCTTCTCCCCGAGACTGTTCACAAAGCCCCACATCCCACTCTGTCAGCTCTTCTTTCTGGAAAGCTTGACTCTCTCCTCAGACTTCTGAGAGCTCCCCAAGCTGGGATTTATTCTGAACCAATTAAAAAAAACACCCCACTTGTAGGCAACACTGAGGGTGTTGGGCATTCAGTTTTATGTGCTCCATATCTAAAATATTCATGAACTTCCCAGGCACCCATCTTGCCAAGTTCTCTCAGCAATCGAGGCCCTTCCTTGATTATGCAGGGGCACATCTACCTGGGGAGTGCAGAGACACTCCTCCAGTGGTTCTTAACATTGTAGCTGTGACCGAATTAAGTGCCATCAAAATTCAGTTCAGGCTGACACATTTACTGAGCACCTGCTTTGGGGGCAGGCATAATCCTAGGTGGTGGGAACACAGCAATGAAAGGCAGAGCCCATGACCTCAAAGAAAGAGCTCAACATCTAGCGGGGGAAGTAGATATGCAAATAGTCATGCAAACAAGTAATTACAGCAGCAGCAACCACAATAATCACGCCAAGGCTACTGACGATGGGCTCTAGGATCTATTTAGCAATGTGCTCCCTTTCCAGTGCAGATAGCCCTACCACCTTCTTCCTGGCCCTCCAGCCTGTGCTTGATGGCCTGAGTGATGTGGGACTCTGTGCTTCCTGATGAGGATCGTTCCCTTTGAAGTTTCTCCTTGGATACTGAGCTGAAATCTGCTCCTTTGCAACCTTAATCCCTCTTCCATATGCCAGCCCTCCAAATATCTACAAATCCCTCGGCTTTAGCATGAAGATCAACAACAATCTCCCTTTTTCTGCCAGCATCTTAAAAACAGTGATATATCTCTTTGAAGCAAAGGTACCATCCAGGAATTGACTACAAGGCCACTCAGTACTGAGAATGGCTCCCAGCGTGGGGATGGCTCGGATGCCCAGGACACACTACTACTTGTGACATATGTGCTGGGGCAGTAAATCAGTCCCAGCCTGAGTTGACCAGTCCTCTCCCAAGAACCTGGATTGTGTGAAGAAAATATTCCCTTCATGCCATCATCACCAGATCCAGAAACATGGCTCGTGATTATTACTGTCCTTTGAATCATTAACTACAGAAGAAGAAGAGTCCTCCCCCACCCTGGTTTTAATCAAGAAGGGACACCTGAATGTGGACACAAGACTATGAGCTGTGAGGTCCTGGGCAAGCCCTATTCCCTCCGCACAAAGTGGGGTGAGAACAGATGATCTCTCTTACAAAATTTTGCAACTTGTGGGGTCTATTTGACTCCATGGGAATAACACCATACCAACGAAGGGGCTTCTCTCCCTCTTGAGCCTCTATTCCGTTACAATCAAGTCTGAGGGCAGAAATGAAGTTTGCTAATGAAAATTTTGGTGTGATCAAAACCTGCACTTACCTGGATCAGAAACATGGTGAACACAAATGATCCCTTTGTTTCCTAAGGGTTGGGAAAAGGCTACATGTCAGAAATAGCAACACTGGGTCTGAAGTGCCAGGGTGAGTTCAGAACGTGTGACAAGGCAGGTGAAATGTCCAGTCAGTCCTTCCCCCTCCACCTGCCTCCTGCGCTCAGGGCACAATTTCCAAAGGACTGGCCATCGCCTTTAGAAGATAATTTAAATTACAGGCTGTTCTTTGGGACCATTTTAGTCCCTGAAGTCATTTAAAGTTTGGAAAGTGAGTTGTACTCAGTCTAGAAACTTTGTATTCTTCTGGGATAACATCCCCAAGATCCAATTATGCTGAAGGCACGGAAGGAAGTTTGCTGCCTGCTTCCTTTTTCCCTCCCACCCCTCCTCCCTTCTTTCCCCTGAACATCATAATTCCATTAATAGGGTCCAACCGCCTGCTGGGCAGTGATTCCAGGACTCATTCAGATCCCCAAGTCTCTTCTGCTGTGCGGTGGCCAAGCACCATCACCCTAAGTCTGTGCTTTGGCAGTGGTTTTTAGGAGCCTGACTGGAAGACTTATACTTTCCCTCTAAATTTTCAACTCATAGGATTAAGCAACCTGCTGTGTTCTTCCTCAGTCCTCACCAAGCATCCATTTAAATCACTGTCCTTTCAGCTTTCTTTCATTTGTGCATGTGCTCTAAAACCTCTTGAAAGTCACTGACAGAATGTGGCCAACAACAGGGATGGGTCCAGAGAATGGGTACATTCCTTTACTCAGCCAACAATCGTTGAGTGTGCCCTGCCTGGAAGCAGAAATGTACAGAGTAACCGCGGTCTCTGCCTTCTGGATTGCGCCCTCTAGTGGCAAGAGAGGAACATGAAAAGAAAATGACCAAACGAGGTAGGTGGTGCGGGAGAGGGAGAATACCCAGCTCCTGGTGAGAGTCCAGAGGGAGGCAGGGGCCAGACTTCCTGGAGCAGATGATCCAAAGCCCATCGTGTGCTGGAACTGACTCGCCAAATGTGTGCATCTCCTCCCAACTCCCATTCAGTGACTTTGTTGGTTGCCTGGAATTGGCTATCGTGGGAGTGTTTACAACACAGAAATCAGCAAATGCTCCAGACCAGAGCTTTTTGACCCAGAGATCTGGTTGGTAAACATTTACCAGCATACCACTGGAATGAGTGAGTGACAGTTGACCTGACAAAGGGGAGTGGGAATCGTCCCAGGCAGAAGAAGCTGCATAAACAAAGACACAGAAAAGAGTGGGGAGCGACCAGCCATGCAGTATTGTAGGCGCATACGAGGCAGGTACTGCTGATGGGGAGGAAGGCAGGACTGGACTCTGGTTTGTCTTTGGGGGCATGCTGAGGAAAGTCCTAACTTTCTCCCGTAGGGGCTACTGAGGCACTTAGGGATCTTTTTTTAAAGTAGATTTCATGCCCAGTGTGGAGCCCAACACGGGGCTTGAACTCACAACCCTGAGATCAAGATCAGAGCAGAGATCAAGAGTCCACTGCTTTACCGACTGAGCTACCCAGGCGTCCCGAGGCACTTAGGGATTTTAAGTAAAGGTCTGGCATGGTCAGATTTGCATTTGAGGTTGATCCTTCTGAGCACAATGTGGAGGGATACAGGGCGCAGGAGGACAGAATGAAAAAGAGAGGGAAACACTGAAGGCAAGTGAAGATAAGGACATTAACTAGGAAGGGATTGAGGGGCGGTGAACATGGAGATTCAAGGAATGTTTGGTAGATGCAAAATACAATACTAGAGTTTGGTTGCATAGAGCAGGCAGGAAAGAGGGCAGAGTCAATATCTATCGCTCAGATAATGGGTGGATGATGGCAGCACCACTGAAGATCACTGGCCAAGTTGCTGGTTTTAGGGGAGAAGATGAATTCATTTGGGGGTATAGTGTGTTTGGGAGAGATGAGGGAGATGTGTGTGCAGGACACTCGTGGACTAAATACCTAGAGTGGCTGGCATTGCTCTGCCGCGTCTGGATCCAATTCCAGCCGTACTACCGTAAGAGACTGCTGCAGTCTCTGCAACATGAGTTCATGGTATCTCCAGGACCTCCCTGACCTCTGGGCCATGAGGGTCCCACTCACTCTAGTGCGCAGACACTCTGAGAAAGTGGATCCTGAGGACAGAAAGACCCCAGAGAAAGTGACCCAGAGGAGGGCAGCAGGGGTGTGAACAGTCAAGGGTCAAGGGTCAGGAGTTAAGGGCCAAGGAGACCGAAAGCACGGCTGACTCCAGGGCAGAGGAA